AATCTGATGTCCAGGCTACTGACAGTGGTTTAACATGTGTTTTCCATGTTGAAGGAAAATCTCCTACTAGAGGATTGGCCATTTTCATAGCACAGTAACAGTATAGTTCATGTTTACGGAAACGTCTGACACTTTGTTGCCAATGTTTTTAATGTTGGCTTGTGGCCATGTTCTCCTGGTCCATTGGGGCAGGAAGATCCTTTTGATTCCAGTGGGAAGCTATCCATGGAAATCTGAGGGCAGAAGCTGACCCGTAAGGACTTAGATTCTCCTTAGCTTAAAGCTTAGTCTTTCTGCCTCCTTCTCATCTCTTCCATTTTGCCAAGAGCCATCCCTTAAATAGCCTTTTCTCTAAAGATATGTTAGAACTGAATTGCTTATTTGTCCACCACTCGCTGATTACCCAAACACTGGCATAGTGCTGTTCATTTCATGTAATTTTTTTTTAACACAATTGACCCAACATGCAACCATGTTCTTTTAACAGCACAAAGTGAAAAGATAGAGATGTATCCTGAACATGCTCTTTCCTACCATCCCCTCTTAAGGAAAGAGCCTAAATGAAAAGATAATCTTATTCTTGTGTTCTGAAGGTCATATCTGTGATATTCACTGATCATCCGAGCACTTACAGTGCTTGTAAGAGCTCCACTTTATTCTGTGTCTGGTTCTAACTGACTGTGCATTACAAGAGCATCTCACCCAACTGGGAAGAGCAGCCCTTAAAGACACTGTTCCCTATATGTATCATACTGATTACATTAAGTAGAGGCACTACAGTTTTTTCAGATCCTGGACCAGCTTTTAATCGACCTTATGTCATGGACATTGCTCCACCCATCCACAGTCACATGACTGCCCTGTGACACTACAGTAGCTAATATGGAAAGTTATGCAAGAAATATTTAATTCAGTATTTTAGCTATCCTTTAATGGGATGTAGTAGCTTGGAATGAAAGAGGAGCCAGGATCATGTGACCATGTGATCACATGACTGCTCATCATGGACTACCAGCAAGGACTCTGCAGATCACAATTGGGAACCTGTGTACTAAAATGATTAACAAAACAAATAACTATGTAACTGTTATGATGGACATTGTACAGGCAACAAGCTGTTATTGGAAGAGAGTTCAGTCACTAATGTTGATACTATGTCAGGAACTCACATCTCACTTGTTGCAAGCAAAGCAGATGTGAGCGAGACAATTATAATGGGCTATTTTTAGGATATGTCTTCTCCCCGTGTCCTGGTCAAATTCTATTTGAGGATGCTATGCCTGTCTAAACTTCCCTTGTAATTTCAATTGAATATTCTTCTTTGCATCCTGTACTGTATAATTGTATGATGCTGCTGTTCAATATTAAGCAGCTGCTGTTTTATACTTCCAAAGTGGCTGCATTTTAGGGGTGACAGAATTGATTCCTATTTATGGAAAGTCTCTTAATTGCTATGGATGAAAGGTTGTTCTGTACTGAAATGCAAGGTATTACTATTTCATTATTTGGAAAACATATCACAACTTTCTCAAAGATGAAGTGAACACTGACGATAGTTTGCATAAATGTTTATAAAAGGGCTTTGAGATTCTGTGTTTTGAAGAGTGGCTTAGAAATATAGGACTATTAGTTTCATCACCATCATATTGACTGAAAACAATCCACATTAAAAACTGTTCTGTTTACCCTCATTTTTAGAGCTGAGAAGGGCAGGAAGATTATGAGTAAACGATAGTGCATGAAAGAGATTTCCATGTGTAATAATAACTGTGTGTAGCCGTTGGCTTCTCAGGGTTTGCAAATTAAGACCTCTGTGTACATCTGCACAACAAGTCACAGCCCATACCAGTGAGTCTCAGAGCCTGGGTTGATAGACTTGGACCACAGCACAAAAAATACCTAGACATTATAGGAGTGGTGGGCAATAAAACAGCAGAGGTTCTTCATGATTAGGCCCTGGTGGGCTGCTGCTGCTCTCTTTACTGCACTTCTGCAGGTACAGGCAATCACTGCTTCCATTGTCTGGGAATGGTGATCCATGCCCAAAGGGAACTCTGATCCCCTGTATCTGCAGAGGCAAAGGCAAATGCTGGCCATAGTGACAGTGATGCTTCTGGGTGGGTGGAGCTCTTCCCGGGCGAACACCCTATCCCCTAGGCCATGCCAGAACCCACCCCACCACCTCACCTTCAGGGAGCCCTTTTTCCTACCTCTCCCAGGGTATGTCTACACTACCCCGCTAGGTCGAACTAGCGGGGGAATGTAGGCATACCGCACTTGCAAATGAAGCCCGGGAAATTCAAATCCCGGGCTTCATTTGCATAAGCCGGCCGGCGCCATTTTTAAATGCCGGCTTGTTCGAACCCTGTGCCGCACGGCTACACGCGGCACGGGCTAGATAGTTCGAACTAGCAAGCCATTCCGCACTATCTAGCCTGTGCCGCGTGTAGCCGCGCAGCACGGGGTTCGAACAAGCCGGCATTTAAAAATGGCGCCGGCTGGCTTATGCCAATGAAGCACGGGAAATTCAAATCCCGGGCTTCATTTGCAAGTGCGGTATGCCTACATTCCCCCGCTAGTTCGACCTAGCGGGGTAGTGTAGACATACCCCCAGAGTGGGCAGGACTTGAACCTGCCGACCTTCTAACGTTGGTGGACCGGATCCGGCCTGTTATTTGCCCACCCCTGCATTATGGCTTGGGCTGTGAAACCTATGCCGCTCCCTAGGCTTCAGAGCCCAGACCCCAGCCTAAGCGGCAACATCTACACAACTGCTTTTAGCACCATGGCGAAAGCCCCATAAGCCCTAGTCCAGGGGTAGCCAACCAGTTAGACACGAAGAGTCAAAATAGCTGTGGATAGTAATGCAAAGAGCCACACATCCCTCACCCAGAGCCAGGCACCCCCAGGCCCCTCCCACTCTAACCCAATGCCTGAGTCTCACCGGAGCTGCCATCGCCACAGCCACGCACTTCTCCCTCCAGGAACTGGGGTGTGTGCACAAAGCGGGCATGGGGTTCTGAACGAGCCATAACCTTGAGAGCCGCATTTCTCTGAGCAAAGAGCCACATGTGGCTCAAGAGCCACAGGTTGGCCAGCCCTGGTCTAGTCTTGACCTGGCATCTGAGACTTGCAACTGCAGGCTGCTGCTCTCAGAGTAGACATACGCTGAATGTTTAAAATATTGTGTCATTTGGTTTCACAGACCATTGCTGTCAGAAAGGTGAAAATAGTCTTGTCATGCTATACGTGAATGTTCAGAACTCCCTCCGCCCCCCCAAACTTGTGTTTGGATTAGTGGTTGTGGGTGATGTAGAGTGGCAACTTTATCATGCTATCTGTGAATACAAAGACAGTGAGTTAGGCCTTGTCGTCACTGCCTCGAGCGATCTTCCAGAGTTTGATTTAGTGAGTCTAGTTAAGATTTGCTAAATCAAACTCAGAGAGCACCCCCATTGGCACTCTGGCTGTCAATGGGGAGTAAGGGAAGCTGATGATAGCATTTGCTCCAATTGACCTCTCACTTGGGGGACAGCACCAAGCTCGGCTTAAGGTAAGCCAACTCCAGGTACGAATTCTATGAAGTTGGAGTTGCATACTTTAAGCTGAGCTTCTGGTCTTTTGTAGACCTGGCCTTAGTGTTGTTTCCAAAGAAGCTAGCTGAAATTATCCCGATTCCCCATTAACCAGCCTCATTGCTGTTGCTTGATTTTTCTCTCAAAAGGTTAATGGTAGTGACACCCATTAAAACAATGAGAATTTTAAGGCTAACTCTCCACTTGGTGCTTTGAACATATAGCCCAGAGCATGTTCCTCCAACAGAAGAGGAACTGCACAGCCTTTCCACATGGGAAATGACAAGTTGAACGGGAGAGTTGCCCAAGCAGTTTTCAATTGAATCCCAAACTTGAAGCAATCACTTACCCATTGTGTTGGGCTGAGACTTGTATTGGGCTGATACTTGTAAGAGTTCAAGGCCAAAACCTACCTATCCCTGTGCTCGTTTTCTAAGGAACTCTTTGCACTGAGTACACTTGAGTAGCATTGCATTGCACCTTTTTCACAGAATCTTCCTTGGGGTTTCCCTTTTAATCCAAACATCTCCTGAACAGCTTTTTTTTCTTGCAGGTGTCCTAGAGTAGTGAGTTATTTTGCACCTACAGATTTTGATCCTACAGGAAAAAACATTTCTATTTTCATAATCTGCTGTGGTGAACCACTGACAGGAGGAAGCTGATAAGTTAATGGCATTAGAATGGTAATAGAAAAAGACTAGTGCTTTTGAACAGTATAGGAGTCAGAAGGAACAAGGGAGGAATCTATAATTTTCTTCTCATAGTGACATGGGTTAGCTTATAAGCAACTTTCTTTTCATCCCAACTCTGATTCAATAGATGTGTATTAAATGTATTAAGCTCACTAAAATGCATGTTGCTTATCTGATGGAACTCAGTTCAATTTGAGGCTGAATTCATGAATTATTAAGCTCAATACAGGGGTAACAGGGTATAATTTTAGCATGTGTGTTATACAAGATCAGACTAGATCAGTGTTTCTCAACCTTTTTTATAAAGTACCCCCTTTTAAAAAATTATAAGTACCCCCAATACCTACAGTTTTCAGACATAGTACATTTTTTTCTACCATTGCAACACATTTGTTTAAACAATTTAATCATAGCCTGGCAGGCGATGAATTTTTTGGGTGTAAAGTACAAAAATAAAGCGCTGTAAAACTTAAAACAAAAATTCAGTTTTCTCCAAATTTCACTTGTGTTGACGTTCCCCCAGACTTCTCTCGAGTACCCCTGAGGGTACTTGTACCACTGGTTGATAAACATTGGACTAGATGATCTAATGGTCCCTTCTGACATTCAGATCCATGAATTTATGACAACAGTGACTGAAGAAGTGAAAAGCTCACTTCTTTCAGCTCACCAGTTCCTCCAAAACACATTTCCATGTCTATAAAACATTACCTGCACGCTTTTTGTTTTTAAGATCTTACCAGGAGAGGATGACTATGGGTTTGACATTGAAGAAAAGAACAAAGCAATCGTGGTCAAGTCTGTTCAGCCAGGATCTCATGCAGAGGTGAGATCTTCTGACAATTATAAATATTTCCCTTTTAGCAGTGGGAAGAAGTGTCTATCCTTTATAAGCCTGTTTCATGTTAGTTGCAGCTAATAGGAAATTGAGTATTGTCTGACATCCTCCGGTAATAAACTGCCTCTGTACGTTGATATGTTTTTGGCCGCTTAGGATAAAACATTCTTGATGAACATTTTTATTAAGTGGTAAGAGAACAGACAGCCCCTTTGTGTAACAATCACAAACATTGGGCAGTGTTGGGAGATACAAAGCTGAGAGCAGTGAGACAAGAGTTGGAATTACAGAGTGGGCATATTTGAATGCTGTTTTTTTCAACCATATATAATCTGATCTCTTCCTTGTTTTCTAAGAGCACTAATCAGCTTTAATGCAGTCTCACATATATTAACTTACCTGTCTGAGGTATGTGGCTCTCATAACCACGGTATTGGAACACTTCACAACCTTTCAATGTATTTACCCTTACAGTTTCCCTGCTCCCCCAATGTAGGAGGGTGCTATTATTCTCATTTTGCAGAACTGAGGCATGGAGAGACACAAGAAGGCTACGTCTACACTGGCATGATTTTCCAGAAATGCTTTTAACGGAAAAGTTTTCCGTTAAAAGCATTTTCGGAAAAGCGTGTCTAGATTGGCAGGAAAACAAATCTGGGCTGTCTACACTGGCCCTTTTGCGCAAAAGGACTTTTGCCCAAACGGGAGCAGCATAGTATTTCCGCAAGAACACTGACAATCTTACATGAGATCATCAGTGCTTTTGCGGGAATTCAAGCGGCCAGTGTAGACAGCTGGCAAGTTTTTCCAGAAAAGTGGCTGATTTTCCGGAAAAACTGGCCAGTCTAGACACAGCCGAAGATTGTGGGGAGAGGAGGAAATGGAACTCTAATCTCCCAAATCCAAGCCTAGAACTTCTATCCTTGGGCGATCTTTCCTGGCAATCCTGCAGATTGCTTGAATATGTATTGCTCTGAACTGCCTATGATTCTTTAATGATCCAAGGAGAAGAAGCAACCAGACTGATTTCGACATATTGCAAGAATCCCAAATAGGAACTTGAAGCTACGGTCTAACATTAGAATGAAATGATCTCATTGTTCCTTATTCTCTTTTTTTTATAGCCATGAGCAAAACTGGGCCGTGGCCTCATCTCATATTCAGATTAACATAAATGGGCCAAATATTGTATTAATGCAAATCTCGGGGGTAAGCTGTTGCCTGACAGATAATCGCTCAGTCATTTCTTTGGCCAGCTGCCCGTAGAACATTTTGCATTGAAAATCTGTTTGTGCTCTGAGTCAACAGAAGCACACAATTTTCTAAGGAATCTTTTTCTTGATCGTCCAAGACAAACAGGCTGTGACCATCTGCCCATCTTTTCAACTTGGCTTTAGAATCCTGAAGGAACCAAGTCAAGATCTCACTGAACTGGAAAGCTGTCAGCTCAGTTCACCAAGATTTGAAGCCTAGCAGTAATGCATTTCATTACATTCTTGGGCTCTTAATTGCTTTTTGATACTACGGGGCTAGCTAACATATGGTTCTGGGCCAGCTCAGCAGCTTTAGACCATTTGGTAATCCTCTGCCGGTTTTAAAACTCAAAGGACAAAACCAGGGCAAGGAGTTTCACCTCATTGTGCCCATCCACGGTTCATAGGGTTTTATTATCAATGTTTAGGCTGTGATTTCAGTTATACTAATGTGACTCTAGAATGACTCCATCAAGTTCAGCAAGTAATTACTCCAGATTAAAGGGAACAGGTGACAAAAGCTCACAGCTAGTTGTAACACAGGGCTAGATGTTGGGGGGAGGGGAGGGAACAGAAAATTACAATAGGGTCATAGGCGCAACAAGGAGTGAATCTACTCAGCATCTTAGATGTCTGTATACAAATGAAAGGCATATGGGGAGTAAACATGAAGAACTGGAAATATTAGTACAAAAACTACATTATTACTTAATTGGCATCACAGAGGTGCAATGGGATACAATTATGACTTGAATATTGCTCTAGAGGGATTAGAGGACTATAGCTTGTTCAGGAAGACAGGCAAGGGGGAAAAAGGAGGAGGTTTTGTATTATACATCAATAATATATACACTTTTTCTGCGGTCTAGAAGAAGGTGAGAGACAGAGCAGTTGATGGTCTGTTAGGGCACATCTACACAAGCAGGGCCAAAGTCAAATTAAGCTACACAACCTGAGCTATGTCAATTGCATAGCTTAAGTCAAAATAGCTTATTTCAGCTTTTGCCGCTATCTACACAGCAGGATGTCCGAGTTAAAGCACTCTTTCTCTGCCTTCCCTTCCTCCTCGTAAAATGAGAGTTACTCCTTGTAAAGTGAGGAGTCTGAGTAAATAGTCCTCCAGCTCAACATTATTTCGACATTATGTCGAAATATCTACTTGCTGTGTAGACGCGGACTGTATTTCGAAATAATGCTGCTATGTAGACATAGCCCTTGAGAAGATAAAAGGGGGAATTGAACAGAGGGGAAGTCACGGTAAGGAACAACAGAAATATCTGAACCACAAAACCTGGTAACTGGGATTTTAACTTCCCAGTTGTCTTCTGGAAAAATAATAAAGCAAAACACAAAATGTCCAGTGAGTTCTTGAAACATACTTGGGACATTACTTCCTCCACTTTCTGAAACAAGTAATTGGGGAAGTAACTAGATTCTAACTGACAGGAAGGTATTGGTTGCAAATCTGAAGGCAATTTTGGTGAAAGTGATCATGAAATGGTATGTTTCATGATTCCATAGAAAAAGAAAGAGTGAGCAGCAGCAGAATAATGGCAATTTGACAAACTTTCACCAACTCAGGCTATGTCTACACTATGGCATTTTTGAAGAAGAGGAAATGCAAATGAAGCGCTCATTTGCAAATTTCATGCTCATTTGCATATTCTCTTTTGATTCTTTCCGTGGAAGAGGTTTTTGCAAAAAAACCTACAGTGTTGATGGGGCTTTTTTTCAGAAAAAAACCCTTTTGTGCAAGATCCTGTAAACCTCTTTTTTTGAGGAATAAGGGATCTTGTGCAAAAGGGTTTTTCTGAAAAATGGCCCCATCTACACTGCGAGTTTTCTTCCACAAAATCCTCTTCCACGAAAAGGATTGGAAGAGAATATGCAAATGAGAGCATGAGATTTGCAAATGAGCGCTTCATTTGCGTTTCCTCTTCCGCAAAAATGCCAGTGTAGACATAGCCTCAGAGAACTGGTAGGTAAGATACTTCAGAAAGAAAATATAAGGGGAAAGAGAGTTCAGGAGAGTTGGGAATTTCTCAGAGAGACAGTATTAAAGGCATAACTATCTTGATGCAAAGGAAACATAGGAAGAATAGTAAGAGGCCAATATGGATCCATCAGGAGCTCTCTAATGATTTGAAAATCAAAAAGTATCCTACAAAAAGTGGAAATGCTAATGAAGACAGCTGAAGAATAGTACAATCATGTAGGACAAAATCAGAAAAGCTAAGGCACAAAATGAGTTACACCTAAAGTAGTGACATAAAAGGCAATCTGAAGAGGTTTGATAAATAGCTCCTCCACTTAGTGGGGAGGGAGAGCTAATAACATCATGAAGGCTGAGGTTTTTAATGTCTATTTTAGTCTTCACTAAAAAGATTAACTGTTAACAGATTTTTAACACATTTAATATTAAAAACATGG